CCTGAGAAGAAGGGGGGGGGAGGCCCGAGAGCGGCGGGGAGGGGGGGGGGGAGGCGGAGCGGGACAGGAACGCGAGGACGGAGAGCTGGGCATCGCTCGGACGTCAATTCCCTGTGCTTGTTTCGGTTTCGTGCGTGGTTTTTTCGCGAAATGATCAAGGATGCTCCTCGATGGTCCTCGGCGAAGGAAAAATGCACACGTCCGAGCGGTGCCGAGAGAGAGGGTGAGGAAGGAGGAAGAGGAGGAAACGATGGGGGGGAGGGGCAGAAGAAGGGGGCAACGTGTGCCCCCCCCCGGACGTCCCCATCGACGCAGATCGCAAAACCAAACCCTGGCGTAACCACGCCCTTCGTACAGTCGGGGCGTTGACCTAAGGAACCCTAAGTAAGGAACGAGGCCCCTATTTTTCATAAATTAAACTTCGATTTCGTATCGAAAAACTAAAGAAAATCCAAGGCAAACTGCGAACAAAATAAGGAACACGGAGCCCCTCCCCAACGAAAAGGGTTCCTTCTTCAGGGCCCCGACTGTAGTCGCCGAGATCAGCTGGGGGAGCGGCACCGAACACAGCGAGGGCGAGAACCCCAACACGGAAGAGAACACTGCCATAACGAACGGGACACGCCAAAACTCACAGAAAAAAAACACGGAAACGAGAAACGTCCCCCACTTTTGCAACATGCTCGAAGGTTCGGGGATCGGCTACGCGCAGGAGTGACCCTGGGTAAGAGTGACCTCTGGTGCGCGGCTTTGGGGGGGCCGCGGGGAGGGCCAAAAGCAAGCGCGCAAGACGCGTCTGCCGCCTCGCGCTCGACGATCGGGGCAACCCGGTGGGCCCGCACCCAAAGGTCACTCAGGCGGAAGGCCACTCTTACGTCCAGTCGAGGGGAGCAGGCCGCGATGGAGGATGCGACCTCTCGCCATCGCTCGGACGTCCATTCCCTGTGTTTTGTTTCGGTTTCGTGCGTGTTTTTCCGCCAAATGATCAAGGATGCTCCTCGATGGCCCTCGCCCAAGGAAAAATGCACACGTCCGAGCGATGCCAAGGCGATGGAGGATGCGACCTGGTGGGTTGAAGGGGCCCCAGGACACACAAATAAATACACACGTATGTTCTGGGTTTTTGTCTTCCCCCCCCACTTCCCATATTTTCCCGTATTTTCCTGGGAGTTGACGATCCTGGTGGGTGCAGCGCTGGTCTCTCCGATCTGGTGTCCGCCGCGCCGCGGCTCCGCCACGCGCGCCGAGGCCGCTGCCCGGACCGCGGGGCCGCGTCTCCCCGAGAGAGGGGGGGCGCTGCTGCTGCTGCTGCTGCTGCTGCTGCTGCTGCTGCTCCTCTGGAGCGCGTTTCTTTATCATCTGCGATGACGGGCGTCAAGGGGGCGGGGGGGGGGTATGACGTAACGCCCCCCCCCCGCCGTGCGGCTCCAGGGGGGAACGTTATAATTATCGTAGGGGGGGGAATTACGTCATGGGGGGGGGAGGGGGGCTGGGGGCCATGACGCCCGTCATGCCCCAAGCAATGAAGAAACGGGTTCCTGGCCATCGCTCGGACGTCCATTCCCTGTGTTATGTTTCGGTTTCGTGCGTGTTTTTTTTTTCGCCAAATGATCAAGGATGCTCCTCGATGGCCCTCGCCCAAAGAAAAATGCACACGTCCGACCGATGCCAAGTCCTCCTCCTCCTCCTGCTCGCAAGCAGGTCCGCATCCGCGCCCTTGCCTGGGCCGGGCGAAAGGGGGGGCAGCCAAGGGGGGGCTTGAGAATCAGCTCACGCAGCTGATTTTTTCCCGGCGCCTCCCGGCGCCGGGAGGCGCCCGTGCATCGAGGCATGGGCCCGGCGGCGGGCCGAAACCGGCTGCACGCAGCAAATTTCGTAACCCACCCTTTCCCTATCCCCCCTTTCGTCCGGCCCACTTGCGGTCTGGACTCCAGGGCGCGATCCCGCGGATACGCGGTCGTGCGAAGACGTTCCGCGCGGGACAGGGGCGAGAGCACGCCCCGTATCCGCGGGGTCGCGGCCCAGGGACCGAGCCCGCGAGGCCGTGGATACGGAGAGGGAAAATGCTCCCGCCCGCGAGCGCATCAACGTTGTGGTGTTCCGACCCAGACGTGAACAGATACCTCAGCACAGCAGGCGGATACCAGAAAATGCGACGAGGCGGACCGAGGAACAGGGGGTCGGCTAGTGAACGCGTGCTTTCTTCGATATGCCCTCGGGATCCTTGGGCATGACAAGGGCGAGAGCACGGCCATGTGCACCGTGGTGTCATCTTGTTCTGGAGATCGTGGCCGTGTGACAGGGGTGCGCGTTAGTGCATGTCTGGCCGCGTGACGGGGGTGAGAGCACGGCACTGTGCACCGCGCAGAGCTATCCGCCGACGCCCGCTTGCCACGGGCGACAAGGCGTGTGAAACATGTACTGTCCCCCGGCCCCCCCCCAGGACCCCGAATCCTGTTCCAGGGCGGGGATAGGGGGGGGGGAGAGGAGGGGGGGGGACAAGCTCGCCAACGGGGGGGGATGAGAAAGGGGAGAAGGGAGGGGGGAAAAGGGGGGAAGCAGAGATCCGATTCATCTTGAGCCAGGACGGTAGCAGAACCGCTCCATCTCTGTTACTGCTTTCAGTCCTCGGGAAAACTCTGAAAAAGGGGTTCCAGAATATTCGTTCCGGTTCGTGTTTCCAAATTAGCTCGGTTAATTCAGGGTCTCCAGAGCAGCGCATCAGAATTGACATCTCTACGAATACATCACGATGTGCAAAAATGCGCTATGATACGCATGCGCACACAACGCAAAAACAGGGGGCCGCAGTCAGGCCTCCAAGCGAAGTAGATCATTATCACTGTGCTCGTTCTTCCGCTCGATAACCTTCCTGGCGGCGAACTGCTTCCCACTGACGCTGCCGATCTTCCAGATGCCCGTGCTCACCAGAGTCATGATTTGAGGACATGTTCCCGTCTTTGTTAGAGCACCGCATATCATATTGTGAGTGGGGCAGTGAATGAACCATCTGTTTCGGTGTGTCCATATTTTTCTCGAATCAAACCGATGGAGAGTCTGCTGTTCTTGTCGCTCGGAACTTCGTTGGCTCCTCAACACAATTGCCAAACATCAAGACAATCCGTGCAGTGGTATATCGCTAACTCCATACGTCCAGAGTCAAAATGTCGCAGCACGTCTCGGGGTCGGTGCTGATGCGATGTAGGTCTCAGTAGTTCAGTGAATAGCATGGAAATGAACTGGGCGTACTGGTTCACCTTATATCCTGCATTCGTCTCCGCATGACACGTACTGCGTGAGACTCGCTTTGCTTCCCCACTTTGACTTACCATATTGTACCATCGCCCGCCAAAGTAGTTCTCGTTCTTCATGTCTGATGTGTCCTTCTTGTCGAAGTGGGATTTCATTCATTCTGTCCTCCATGGGCAATACTGCACTTCCTTCTTGAGGGTGTGACGTGATCTTATTGCCGTGCGATACGTCAGCTACTGATGCTAGTCGGAAGCAAAGCATGGATTCAGGAAAATGAAGTCCCGCCGGCTGTCGACTTCGGGTCGTCCGACTAATGATGGTGTTCAGCTGGATGGTGTTCTCCACCTTGGCGTCTTTCACAAACGGCTGTAGCTGAACTGTGTCGCCACAGATGTCTCCCCGTGTCTGACACAACCACACTAGTGAACATATACCACTGCGAAGTTGATGGATTTCGTAGGCTGCTACTGTTTCTGTTGGCGTTGCTCGTCTGTCCTTACTGAGTTCAACTTTCCTCAGTCCGTCCACGAACTTGCCTTGATGAATAAGAAGATGTTGTCCTTGAAGTAGTTCGTCGGTCGTGCCCATGTGTGTGAATGGAAGGTTGTGCCGTTTGACCTGGCCAAAGCTTTTTTTTGCGTTTTTATTATTATTCCCTTTCTCGGGCCCATGCCATCCGTGTGCGGGGGGGGGCTATATGATGATGTCACCCACGTGCACTGTCCAGATCATCTTGATATTGCCACTCTCGGCCCCACATGAAGAAGTTGTCGTCGAAAACACTCTGTACTCCTGTGAGGTCACTCTTGAAGAACATGGTCAGGGCGAATTGCCATAGGAATGGCGCGTGCACTGCCCCGTAGATAGGTTTCAACAACATGAGGCAACAAAACTTGACAATCACTGTCACCGATGTGTACCGTAGACTTATCGTAATTCCCAAAATGTCGCCACACATTCATGGGAAGCTGCATGTAGACCTTGCTCTGATGTCTGACCTCGATGCCGAGCTGATCCGCGCACTTCTTCAGGTCCGGGTAGTTGAGGCCCTGTAAGAACGCAGTGGAGATGTCCCAAGTCTCCATTCCCATGCCCTTCCGATGCTGAAGAATGAGGCCAACGTTCGCTGTGACAATCTCGATGCTGTCGAACTGCGGCGCATAACGTTATTTTCCTGGGAATCAAGAAATCCCCGTCCGCAGTCGGGATTTGATAGTGTAGTACAGCTTGTTGTTCTCGTCGTACACGTTCTTCCAGCGTCGAACCCATACCGCGTCGATGAATGTTCCCGCTGTCAACAGTGGCTGTCGACGAAAGATCTGGCTTCATGTTGATCGGCATTCTCAACTAAGTCCCAGTATTGGTAGATCTACGACTCTGTCAACACAAAATCGCTCTGCGCGAAGATTAATTCGCCGGTCATCGTCTCAAAATACAAACATCGGCTTATTCCCAATGGACCTGGCATGACCCAGTGGGCTGCCTTAAGATCCAGTTGATGTTGATCCAGGCTGCGAAGATTACCTGAGACTTCGTCTGCCATGCTCACCATCATGTTCTGATATTCGTCAGTGTCGTCGTCGTCTAAGTTGGGAGAGCACAGGTAGCGTGGTCGAAAATCAGCGAACGTGACCTGTTGGTTCAGGAAGGCGCAGTAGTCCTCCAGAAGCTTCGGTCGCTCGGCGTTCGTCAGGCCCTGGTGGAGATGACGAGCCGCCCTTGATCATCGGAGACTGCTCGTTTCTTTGGAGGTTGACCTTCTCAATGGTACCCATGGCGGTCGGATCTTCCACTGCTCCCCCTTGAATCGGTAGTGCCGGTTCTCCTGGATGAAGTGGTGGTGCTTCTGGTGATATGGGACTGCTCGTCTCCCTGATATTCGTGATCGGGGTGCTCGTGCCTGATGGGATGTCTTTGTTCTGCACCGCTTGTGTCCCGTTGTCCTGTGGTTCTTCTTAATCATCTTCAGGGTGCTGGATAATTCTCGCTGTCGATGGCGAGTCTTCGGGGTGATGTACTGTCCCCGGTGGAGATGGATGATCTTCAGGATAACGCATCGCTGGTGCTTGTGATGTCGGTGAGGTTGATGCTGAGGTCGGCTCGAAGATTCCCGATGACCGCTTGATGGTGATTGATATGGGGCCGCTGTCGATGATGGTAGTGCTGGCGCCTTCGACGAGGATGAGGTCGACGCCTGTTGGTCGGAGCTGGTTTGAGTATGCTTTGAGTGTTGGCGTTGCTGGTGGTAATGGTAGTGGAGTTGGTTGCGTTGGTATTGTTGCTTTAGGCGTCGAGAGCGTTGTAGACAAAATTGGCTGTGAAACGACGCTGTCCGTAATTAATATTTCGCCTGTCGGTGATTCTGGTCTCGTCCTATGTGATCTTCTTGGGGTTCTGGGTTCCTGACAAGTTTCCGTGAAGCGTCGTGGTGACCAGCGGTGTGGATCTTGACGCAGCGGCGCTGGTATCGCTGCTGTCGCAGCGTTGGCCGGTGGTCCGCCAGGTGGTTGTGGCGGCCCCCCTGAAGCTGTGGGTGCCGAGATCTCCGAGATCATGCTGTCGCCGGCGATATCGATGCTTTGAGACGCGTTGTCTTTGTCGTCGTCGAAAGATACCCGTCGTTGTGATCATGAGTTGGATGAGCATCGTGAAGTCGATAATCTTGGTGGTGTCATCCTTGTCTGCCGTAGTCCCAGAGGTGCTCGAGGTGCCAGTGGTGGTCCTCCGCCCCGGTCATGTCCTTCTTCCATAGAAGATATGTCGTCCCGAGTGTCCGTGTCCGATAGATCCAAAGGTACCGCTCCTGGTGCACCGGCCGCTGCTGGCGCTGATGGAGCTGGTGGAGCTGGTGGTCCTTTTGGTTGTGGTTGTAATTCGTCTACTGGTGGCAATCCTGGCACTGGCCGTCGCGCCTGTGCTGTAGGTGGTGGGGCTGCTGGTGGTTGCCCAAGTGGATCGTCAGGTGGGAATGCCTCACCGCCAAGTGGATGTCGCGAGTCGTCATCGTGGTCGGGGTCGTAATCAATGCCCGAAGTGTCGCCGAAGTCTGGCATCCTGCACTCTCTGATGTCCTAGTGCTCTTCGAACTGCTGGAATGAGTAGAAGAGCGCGGTGCTCATGTCCATGTCGTCCGACTTCGGCGTCTGCTTCTTGCTGTCCAGTAGTTGCCTGCTGGGATCGAGGTCTTGGGTCGAAAAATCTGCGCGACTCCCAATGGACCATGTGACCTCTCGTCCGTTCTTCGCCCATTTGATGAGATGCAGCTTCTCGATGCACCTGCCGTGGCAGATCCCGTCTATTGAGAAGCCCCATTCCTTCTCGCAGAATTGGTTCGCCAGGGTCCAGATTCGTGGTGAAGAACGCTGCCGGTCCGTGGGTGCCCGCTGTGCGTTGCCGGTCTGGTCTATGATGTTGCCGCACAAGTAGAACTTGAAAGGAATGCTGCCCTCGTAATTTCCAAGACGTCGATGTGGTCCTCCAGTAGGTGCGAGTTCAAGAAGTTCGTGATCGGTATGTCCGCCTGATAGGTGATGAAGTCTGTGATGGGTTGATGCAATCGAATGCGTCGAAGTGGTACCATGCAGGGGTAGCCGTTCCACATCGCGATAGCGCCAGACGGCTGGAGGTGTAGCAGATCGCACGGTCATCTCCAACCTTCGTGGCCTTTGTGACCTGGTGTGCGGTAGAGGTCCACCTGTCGCGGTCTGGATATGCTGGCTACTGCGAGTCTTTCCTCCGCGATGGTGCGTGACACGTTCTGCTTGGACTTGATGCGCATTCGGGCGTTGGCCTCGAAGGTGTCTGGCGAGGCTTCCAGGGCGCCGCCGTAGGCCGTCGAGGCGTCGCTGTCGATGTCGAAGCAATCGCGAGGCGTGAAACCAAAGAGCGCGTTCGCCTGCGTTGACCCGCCGTAGGTGAGTAAGCGGCTCTGAGCTTGCACGGCCTCGAAGATCAGCGTCTCGTCCGTGACGGGTAGACCTTCCTTGGCGGCGTCCACCTTGTTCTGAAAGACGATGCTCTTTGTCATTCTGATGTGTCCTTCGATGAGCCCCGTGGTCGTGTGTTGACCTTGTTTGGGATCTGAGCCTGCAAAGTCTCTCTTGATGCTGTGGCGGTCCATGGAGGCGCCGACGATGTCGGAGGTCAGCGCACCTTCCTGGTCTGGGACGAAGTAGTTGGGCGGCGCAGAGATCCGTATCCAGGACTCCACGAATGCCTTCAAGTACGGTGATGCTGTATTGTCTTGTACCCATGCCACTTGCTTGAAGCGAATGTGCCCACCAATGGATAATAGCCATATCTTGCCCCACAAGAAGAAGAGGTCGCCCTGCGCTCGTTGGTTGAAGAAGCTGGCCATGCTGGCTCTGACCGAAGGTTTGGTCATTGGTAGTGCTGTAGGTTGGCATCCGTCACAGAGTTCCGATGGCATTCTCCAGCAGAGCTTGAGGATGTCCTTGTCGATGCCGAGGTTCGCCACCTGGATCATCCCTACGGGCGTCGCGTGCCAGAACTGCAGGTGATACCCCAGAAGAAGAGCGAGGCGTCCCTTTTTCTGACTGACGCTCCTCAATTTGTTCCTTGAAGCGCTTTAGTCGACATTCGGCTGACTGGTAATCTTCTTCTCAGGCTGCCCCTGTGAAATTCCAAGTGCGTCGCGGTCCGTGGCAGCGCCCCCAGTCTTTTCAGGATACTTCAGTTCCTGTTGTTGCGCAGGATCGCGTTGGACAGGTTTGCCCCGGTCAGTGAGATCGGAGCTGCTAGCCGGCTGAGGAGATGTGCTTGGCCCTTCGGGGTCGTGACTCTCTTTTTCTTCCGATGGTTGTCAATTACCTTCGTCTTGTGGTGCTGCTCGTGGTGGTTATTGCGGTGCTCGTCCTGGCGGAAGTGCCGATGCTTCTCCTGGTCGTCTGCCTGGGTAAGGCACTCGTTCTGGTACGAACCGACAGCCTTTGACTCGAGTGTGTGGCGATTCTGCCTTGTTGCCGTGCTGGCGCCGTTCGAAGGGCCAGAACTGGTCCAGGATGGGTATCTTCTGGTCGTTGATGCGTTTGGTGGTGTCTCGGAGTAGTTGCTGACATAGTCGATCAAGATATACGTTTGCTCTCGCCGTCCTGCGCGCTCCTTTAGATTGCCCCACAAGCCACGCGTGAAATCTGACACATTGGCATAAAACTGCTAGTTGTTTGCACCTGAACCTGCCGACGAATTTGGTCATCTTCTTGATGGTTGATCCTTCCTCGCCCTGATGTCCATGTCGACATTTGTCCTTCAGGCCCTCGTAGATGTCCCAGTCGAAGTCGAAAAGCTGCCTTGGAACTGATTCGGTCCAGATGCCGCCGTTGAAGGGGTTCCCGATAAGGTAGTACTCATTCTTGGCCGTCTTTGAGCACTCTTCTGCTATCCATTCGAGTAGCGGTTGATCGTGCTGGCGATGGCATCCTTCATTTCGGGGTCCGCGAGCTGACTCGCGAGTGGCCGATACGTGCGTCCGGGAGAGAACTTGATCTTCACTCTTACACTGTCTCGATCAGCTTCTGATGTTCAAGTCGTCGAACGTCCAATCCATATCGCAGGTCCGTTGGGCAGCCAACCATGAGTTTCAATCTGAAGGCCCAAGATGTCAGCGTGCTGCTTCCCGAAAAGGTGTTCGTGGAGATCAATCTCTCGCACGTCACGGCGTCGGAAGTGGTCGATGAACTTGCCGAGACTGTCGGGCGTGATCACGGGTAGTTGAAACTTGTTGTGGGACTTCTCCGGTGCCCCGATGCGCGCCTTGTCGCGCCGGTTGCGGTCGTGCTGGTCGAGATCGCTTGGCAGGAGGTCTCCGTAACATGTGTGATCTTTCAGGCTGGCCCACGTCTTCTTGTAGCGTTGATGTTTGGTTGTCTCGCACCACTGCGGAAGCCCCCTGTTGACCGAGAAAATCGTTTCGTACATCGTTCCTGATGTGCCTCTCGATGTACTGCTCCGTGCTGCGTTGGTGATGAAGTAGTGGAAGCTGGTCTCGAAATGCCCATCGTTCTCCGATGTCCGCGATCGCCGCCAGCGACCATCATTTTCGTCACCGCCTTGTTGTCTCGCAACTGTTTGATATCATCTCGTAAACTCTGCGTCGCTGTCATCATGTTATCATTGGATTTGAGAATATTCGTGCTGCTTCGGGTTAAGACGGGCTCTTCTTGGCGATCTTGATCGGCTCAGTCAGTATGGAAGACGGTCGGGCGCTGATCCCCGTCGCGTCTGCCCCGTTCTGTCAGATCGGTGCCGAACGAACTGCAAACCTCAAGGTGCCTCGTCAGCTCCCTGCGCAAGTGCTCTTGGTCTACCGCCTCGGGGCTGTCGCAATTGCCGATCGGAATCACGCAGCGATTCGACTGTCACGTAGCGATTCGACTGGCACGCAACAGTTGGATGTAGACAGGTCGTCGTTGATGCTTGCCGCGCTCGTCGACTGGGGAGATAGCCGGTCTGCCGCCCATGAAGGGCAGCGCGTTAGCGAACATCGATGCTTTGAACAAGATGGAGGACTTCAATGGAAAAACGCCTGGACAGTATGATCCCGGGCCACCGACGAGGTCGCCAGTGAGTGACGCGGTCTCCAGGACGGGGATGCCGAGACGGATTTTTGCCCAAACGGTTCTAGCACGTCCCCATGGTATTCCCTCAGAGCGTCGGCGCCCATGAGTCCAGATGCCGCGCCAGGTTCGCATGAGAGATCCGAAGTCGATACCCCTTGAGGATCCTGAAACCGACGATATGTTGTCGTCGTCGTTTGTTCGCGGTGATGTCTGTTGAACTTCTGGAGCTTCCAGGGTCATCGGTCGCCTTTGAGGCGTCGCAGGCGACCCCGCCCCCGTCACTGTGATCCAGGAGCCCGAGGAACCCGAGGGGGTTGGTGAGGGCATGTTCAGAGGTCGTCGTCGAGTGGGTCTGCTTTCGTCATCGTCGTGCCAGGCCTGGAGGTCGGCCTGAACCCCCATGGAGCTTGCGTTCGTCTGTCCGAAACTGGTGAACGCGTCTAGCTCCTCCGCGATGCTGGCAAAGTGGCCGCTGTGGCTGGTGCTGACGTAGCCGTATCCGTATTGCTCGCGATTGTACCATTCATCGTCGTAGTCGCCAGTCTTCTTCGTCCTCGTAGTGCTACCCGAGTCCCTTGCCACGCTCTTGTTTGGCTGCTGCGCTTGCCTTTGCCTGCGCCTTTGCCTGTGCCTATGCCTTTGCCTTTGTCCTTCTTGTTGTTGTCGTAGCTCCTGCGGGGTTCCGAGCCGCATCTGTTGCTACCTCTCTTGGTTTCGCATTGCCTTTACCTGTGTTATCGTTCTTACCAGACGGAGAGCCTTCGTCGCTCCCTATTTCCTCTTGGTCCGACTTCATGTTCTTATGCTGATCGCCCTTGGTCGGACAATCTGTTGTGGTGCCGCTTGGAGCCGCATGTAGAACACCCTTGTCCGCCTGTGGTTTTGCCCTTGCCTTTGCATTTGCCTTTGTTGCCCCTTGTAGGTGCCGTCCTCGTTCTCGTGCTCATACCCCTGGTCGGTCGAAGCCCCCCCAACATTGATGTTCCCATCCAGAGCTCCAATCGTCATCATACCAGTCGGTGTCGCCCCACTGGTTACCGTTATGTTCCCAGGAATGCCAATCGTCGTCGTTATGCCAATAGTCTCCGTGCCAGAAGCCTCCGATGTTGTCTTGGTGGTTGCTGATCTGGTCGGACTTCGCCATCCTGCTGAGTAGGCCCTTGATATCTCCGTATATGTTCAGGTCGCCGTCTAATCCCAGCTCGGTGTCACCGATCTTCCGTTGAGGCAGCTCGCTGCCCGCAAACAACAGGTGCGAAGGTCCTACTGGGTTGATCTCCAAGCCGGCCGTCTCCGACACCTCGTCGTAAATCATCTCAAAGGCTGCAATGTCTTGGGCCACGCCTCTCTGGCTACGTCGGGGCGCGAAGAACTAGTCCAGGTGGTCCGTCACATTGCCCTGTCCGTGAAGGCCGCATTCTTGACCAAGCCACGTGGCGAATTGTGAAAGTCCGCTGGGCTGGGCCTCGATATTCTGGGGTGGTTGAGCTAGCACTGCTGGCAGGGAAAAAGAATTCTCGCCGACCGACGTAGTCGAGACCGTCTCTTTCGATCGTGACTCTCAGGGAATGCCTCCGTACTCCACCCTGAAGTCGCGATAGCACTAGTAGTGCTGCAACCGTCGCGTCAGGCTCGTTCTTAGTGCGCCATTAGATGGAGAGGTTCTGGAGGTACTTGCGTACCGAATATCGTAGTACTCCTGGTTTCCATCCTGGCGGCGTATTCCGTGTCGATTCTTCTAGCGATATCGTTCCAATCAATGCTGTCGTCATCGCTTGTCTTGATCTGAAACAGAAAGAGAAGTTGATGTAGTCCTTACCTGTTGTGAATGACGTTGTCTCCAAAGTCGGAGATACCGAAGAAAAGATATTGCCGTAATCCTTACCAAACTACGTATGATGATGTCTCCTGAGTCGAAGATGCTGAATAAGAGAAGCGATCGTAGTCCTAACTTGTTGTGAATAATGGTGTCTCCAGTGTCAATGACGCCGAAGAAGAGGTACATTCGTAGTCCTTACAGGGTGTGAGTTGTGATACCGTCCCACTCTGAAATGGAATAAGCTGCAACACCAACTGTAGCGGTCGTGATCGTGACCTTGATACTCGATGTGGTACTCTATGGTCACCCAACGAATATTACACTTGACAGGGATCTTGATATCCTTCAGCTCGTGCAGGTCGATCGTCCTGTAGGTCGTGTGCATATTCACGTAGACCGCGTAGTATGTTACAGTGATCGTGGGGTTGTCCGCGTGCTGGTGTATGGCGCCGCCGATGTATGGCCTGGGCGCCGCGCGCGCGCGGGGGCCGGACGCTCCGCTGCCAGAGCAGAGATCTTATTTGTCTTGAGCCAGGTTTGTAGCGGAACCGCTCCATCTCTGTTACTGCTTTCGGTCCTCAGGAAAACTCTGAAAAAGGGGGCTCTGGTCTAGAATCTTCGTTTGGGGGGGAAGGAGGGGGGGGGAGGAAGGCCCCAAAAAGTAAAAAATGTCCACTTTCATGGGGAAGCGTACATGTTTGGCCGAAGCCCCTCCTCCACGTCATTCTCCCCTGCTCGTCGCCCTCCTCCCCATCCACGTCATTATCCCCCTCTGCCTCTTTCCAACTTGTCTGTCAAATCTTTCCTCGGGCCTTGGGGGTCGGCCAGGCGGAATGGTTTAAGCATGTTGACTACAAAATCGTGACCAAACAATGTAGCCGTCATTGATAGAAGAAGAGAAAGAAAAAATGCATAAACTGATCATTTGGCGCACTGTACAGATTTCTTGGATCTGCGCTGGGCCCCCTCCCTGCCGCGCGGAGCGCGTCAGGGGCGGCGCCGAAGGCGCCGCCAAGGGGGCCCAGCGCAGATCGAAGAAGTCCGCGCGTAACACCAACACTTATTTGTATGGTTTCTTATCTCCGAATGGCGGGGAGAGACGAACTTCTGAACAAACCGCGACGAGATCTCGAGCGAAACGGCGCCCGCAACGGCTCTGGGTCCACCAGCCCCCCTGAGTCGGCGGTGGACAAACCTCCCTTTAGTAGACCTCACCTTAAAGAAATCGGCCTGGGACCGAAACCGACGGGCCTGGACCTGCAAAGATGACGGCCGCGACGCCCTCTCGCGAACCGAAAACTGCCAATTCCTTAATCGACGTGTCAGGGTAGGAGGTCTGTCCACCCCCGACTGAGGGGACTCTTCTGTGGTCCTTCGCCCTTGGCCAAAGCCCTCGAGCGAAACGCTACGAGGGACTCGCGACGGACTGGTTCGGGAGTGGCCAAGAGGGGGGTGTCCAAGAGGAGGGGGGTTGCAAATCATGACCGGCGGCATGTGCGCGGCCCAGCGGGGGGGCCTGGGACGTAATAAAATAAGAAGAGGCGCCATGAAATCTGAAGAACAATCATGGCCCGCGCCATGAAATCCCCCCCCCCCCCTAGTCATCACCCCCCTCTTTTCCGCCCCCGACCTGGTTGGGGCCATCTTTCGCCTCCCAGGGCCCTCGCCTCCGGTCTCGGGGCATGGGTTCACGCCTCCGGGGATCCACGCTGTCGAACAACGGCGAAGGGGGGAGGGGTCGATGTCGTGTGCCCTGGGGCCCGGGCGGGCGGCAGCTGGTCCAGCAGCTTCCAGGACTGTGTCGACGACGGCCACGCGGTGGACGCGCACGGGTGCCCTGCCGAGACAACACGCAGGGCTCTTGCAGACGTGCCTTTGCACCACGGGTGGAGCGCTCCGACCGCCCCGCAGGGGAGCCCCTGAGACTTTTGCCGCCTTGCCAGAGAAACCCAGAAAGCACCTGAGCTGAAAGCTCTCGGAGGTCCGCGCGGACCTCTTGCATCGGCGCTGCGGCCCGTGCGCATTGCGTGCCATAGGGGGACAAAAAGTCACATAAACATGAAAACTCGGAGGTCCGCGCAGATTTCTCGGATCGGCGCTGGGGCCCCCCAGCGGCGCCTCCGGCGCCGCCCCTGGCGCGCTCCGCGCGCCAGGGAGGGGGGTCCAGCGCCGATCCGAGAAATCCGCGCGGACCTCCGAGTTTTCATGTTTATGTGACTTCTTGTTCCCGCATGCCAGGGAAAAAGGTCCAGGGCCGATCCAAGAGATCCGAGCGGATCTCCGAGAGTGCACGGAGATGCCAAGCTGTCTCCTTCGACGCCCCAGACAGCTGCAGAGCTCCAGACTTCGCGACCGCTGCAGCACAAGCTGCAGCACGGGCTGCCACCGTACACGCTCCCCACTACGCACTTACCCGTGGAATCGACTCTCGTCCTCACCGCCGTCTTCCCGGGGATGCACATTCTTTCTGTTGCGACTGACACCCACGCACCCTCCTCCTCCAATCACGCTTCAACGGTGTGGAAGAAGGACGGGGAGGACGGGAGGACGACGACCTTGAGCGAGCGAGCGAGGCAGTAACCCTGGTGCAGAACCCTGGTACATGCAGCTAGGGACGCGTGCTGGGGAGACGGCCGAGGAGGGAGGACGATGAAGAGGAGGATGAGGTCAGGGGCCCTGCTGCTGCTCCTCCTCTTCCACCTCTCCCTTCTCCTCATTCTCGCGAGGTGGCTTGCCAAATGACGGAGGCCTGGAGGAACGGGCTGGCCTTAGTACCATCGGTGCACCTGAAAATTGCGAGGCACAGCAAACGGAGACCGCCAGAGCAGCATAGCACCGTGGTTGAAACATTTCAAAAGCGCCTCTGCGGGCACTCCTCACGCACCCCGGCAGTGGGGAACCCCACCATGATTCGTCTTCGTACTTCTGCTCATGAAGCCGCCGGCTCGAAGGTTCCCCTCTGCCGCGGAACAGGGCGGCCTGGCCATCAAGGGGCCTGAAAGCACTTCTGGCGCCCCGCGGGGAGCGAGAGCTGGCGAAAAAACGGAACGTGGCACAGCGCGAACGACGCACTGAAAACACCGCATGGGCTCTCTGCTGCAATTCCCATTGCCGCTGGGTGCACGTACCCAGCGAGAGGGATTTCAGAAAGAGGAGGAGAGGGGGGGAAGGGGAGAAGGTAGGAAGTGGGACGGAGGGGGAGAAGGGGACGCGGGAGGGGACGAAAGCCGTGTCGAGGACGAGGATGGAGAGGGGAAGAAGAGGTCTCCTCCAGCACCTCAACCTTATCCTCATCTGTCTGCTCCTCCTCCTCATCATCCTCCTCCTCCCTCCTACTGCTCCTCCTCCAACTCCTCCTCCTGTTCGTCGTCTTCTCCATCCTCCCTCTCGAACGATCCATCATCTATCCTTCCTCCTCATACTCCTCCTCCTCCTCTTCCTCCTCCTCATCCGCCTCCTCTTTCCTCTTCCATCATCCCTCGCCACTGGGGAGGCATGGGGAGGGACAGAGGAGCAGATTGGTGAAGGATGGGGGGAGGAGGCAAATGGGGGAGGAGGCAGAGGGGTAGGAGACAGAGGAAGCAGACAGGGGAGGGCGCGTGACCTATACCAGCGCTGCCGACGCCCAGTGGCTAAATACTGGAACCTGTAGGAAGCCCCATAGGCGTGGATGAGTCTGGTCGCTCCGCGCTGATTCAGCACTGCAACATCAGGTGAACGCACTGGAAAGCTACACGTCTATCCTCCGGGCGCGGCACGGGGAAAGGAGGACGATGACGACGACCACGACTGGAAGGACGAGTAGCAGCAGCTCGACGAGGAGAAGGCGCAACATGGAGATTACCCTGTGCCCACTCCCTTACGTCGTGAGCCGCCCGCACGCAAGGCTCGCTCGTGCCGACGTGCGCTCCGTCTCCATCTCTCTGCCTCTCTGGCGCTCTATAGCCCTTCTTTGCATATCTCTCTTGCTCTACAGAGATCGATGTGTATACATAGATATGCACAAATACATACATACATACATACATACATACATACATACATACATACATACATGCATGCATGCATGCATGCATACATACATACATACATACATACATGCATGCATGCATGCATGCCTGCATTCATACATTCATACAAACATACAAGCATACAACCATACAAACATACATGCATACCTACCTACCTACCTACCTACCTACATGCATACATGCATGCATGCATGCATGAATGCATGCATGCATGCATACATACATACATACATACATACATACATGTGTATATATAAATATATGTATCGCTTACCCCCTCCCTCTTTTCTGCGGCACCCCACAGCGCAGCACTGACAATGCCGACACCCCCACAGACGCGGACATGAGCGACGAGCCTGCTCTGGGCCCAGCAAGAATCCAACTGGCGCACGCCGAGGCCAACGCTGGGCCTCAAGTGAGCCCTTCCGCCCTCCTCCCGGGCCCCAGGACGGGGCACCCGGGCCCCTCAAGGCCCGACCGACCCCCCCTCGCTGCACCCCCGTCCCCCCCCCTCCCCGCAGCAAGGAGAAGGTAATCCGATAGCCCTTATAACGGCGACGAGGCGACGATCGAAAGCAGTGCCCCGGCACTGCTTTGAACGCGTTCTAAGCAGTGCCCCGGCACTGCTTTGAACGTATGATATGATGATATGATGATGATTATGATTGATGATGATGATGATTTTTCCAGCGTACACTGTCCGCAACTGCGGCAATCAACATCATGCTCCACTTGCCCGCAACTGCGGCCATCACCAACGCTGCGCCTCGAAGCTCCACGGAGGGCGCTCGGCAGGTCGCCCGCTCGAGCCCCACTCGACTTCACGCTGAGGAGGCGAGCCCTCAGGGGCATTGTCCGCAACTGCGGCATGATCAGAGGGCCACCACTGCGCGCCATCAGCGCCCCATTCGCTCGAGCTCCAGTCCCACCAGGACCAGCCCTGCCATCTCGTGGCGGGACTGCGCGCCTCCCATGCGCCGCTGCCGCTGGCGTCCCAGGACCCAGCCGCCACTGCGGCACAAGAAGGGGTCGCATCGTCGCCGTTGGCAGCTTGCGGCGGTGGCGTGTTCCCAGCTCGCTCAGCCCCAGCGTCTCTCCCCGCAACTGCGGTTCCCATCTGGGGTCGGACGCCCTTCCCCGCAACTGCGGTGTCCGCGTAGCTGCCCTTCTTGCCGCCCTTCTTGCCGCCCTTCCTGCCGCCCTTCCTGCGTTCCAACCTCGCGGCGAGTCTTTCAGGTGACCTGCGGCACGTATTGTGCGTGAAAGCCACCAGAGGGAAGTGCGCTCCGTGCCTCGCCCTGCCGAAGGCGCCATGCCATATCTTGTCGTCGAGGTTGCCCTGCTTCACTCTGAAGGGATAGCGCACCCAATCGTCGCGTTCCCTGCGCGCCATCCTTTGCTCGAACTCCGCATCTGCGGTCAAGGATTCGCCAGATGGCGTCAGGAAGGCGCGCATCTTGTTTTCAACGGGCTCAGCCTTGGGCACGTAAGTCTGAAGCATCTTCCCAGGGCCATTCGTGTAGTCGAAGACAGGGAAAGACGGATCATGCTGGGTCGTCAAGAATCCGCCCTCACGGTCGTGCAGAACACTCAGGCCATGGTGAAGCTTGTACTGCCCAGGACAGTTTATGAACAAAATCGCCATGCTGTCTGCCCTGGGCTGGCCGCCTGCTGTCTTCCAGGGGGTCCACGCGGCGACGTCCACAGTCAGGCCGCAATTGCGGCACCAGGACACAAGCTGGAACATGCACATGTTGAAGTCCCCCATGCAGACCTTCACGTCCCATTCCCTGACGTAGGCGACGAACCAGTTGTAGAACTCATGGAGCTTCGTGACGCCCCAGTCTTGGTTGGCCAAGCTGTGGTGGACGTGCACCGCCATGACGTTGAAGGAGCCCCCCAAATGGGGCACGGCCTGGTCCAGGTGGACGCGCACCACCATCGCCCTGGAGTACTTGTTGTGCAGCTTTGGCGCAGGAGCCTCCGCAACTGCGGACTGTTTCTTCTTCTTCTTCGTTTTGGACTTCTCCTGCTTGTGGAAGAGTCTCGCAAAGTCTACGTGTTCAATGTGGCCGCCACTGCGGTCCCTCATGCCAACAAGGAGGGTCCCTGATGGCTCGCCGCCCTTAACGCACAGGTAGGTGTATTGAGTCCGACTCCGAAACCTATCGTCCGCAACTGCGGCTGCACTGTCCCTCGCGTCGTGCTCCCCACTGAGTACCGCGCAGGTCTCGTCGTCGCACTCGCAGAGGGCGATGATCTGGGCAGGGTTCGCGCGGAGCTGCGCCCACTCGTCCGCGCGTTGCGTGGGTCTAGCTGCAGTCCCTCCGAAGTTGGCCACGTAGAAGCCGACCCGTCCCGCTTCGAACTCCGTTTTCTCCTCCCATGCGTCGACAAGAGCTCTTTGTTTTTCCGACAGATTGCTTGTCTCGATGATGGGCACCCGTTTCCAGGTTCTCCGCGACGACAACACTCTCGGCATGTAGGAGTCATGTGCTGCCGCAACTGCGGCTCCCGCACCTCCCCGGGACTCAGCCTCGTCAGCGGAGGCAGCCGAGGACGCGACGGTGCTGTCGCCATCTTGCGTCCGCTGGTCGTCGTCATCATCCGCAACTGCGGCTTCCTCGTCTTTGCCTCCCTCCTCCTCCTCAGCGTTGTGGATGAACACCGTTCTGGCGAATCGAAATCCACGGTCCATACTCCCTGAGGATGCGCTCGGGCGCGCGGGCGGCCACATGCTTGCGTCTTCGCGTGCGCCACCTCGAGCCACGGTGGCTACGGAAATGGATCGTGAATGGGCATGGGGTCGGATGGAGGGAGGAGACAAAGAGGATTCGAGGAGTGGCAGAAGGAGGGCGAGGACTCAAAGGAACCGAAAGAACAACAAATGGACTGGCGGAGAAGCAGAAGGAGGGCGACGATTGCAAGGGACTGTGAAAGGATTATTTTCACAGCAGCAGGAAGACCGCAACTGCGGTTTTGCCTCATCTCCTGCCCGCGCGGGAGCCGCTTGGAAAAACAACTTCCCTCTGGACTTCCTGTGGGTCCGCAACTGCGGCCTGCATCACGCTAGGGCTGGGATTACCAGCGCCATTTGCCCTCCCAGGGTTCTCACTGTTTCCGAATGCACGAACTGCGACAGCGCCGAACGGTTCCCAGACGCCGCGTCGTTCGCGACTTTTTGCAGCCACCCAGCAAACGTGAGCGGCCATTGCTCCTTGTGCTGCTTGCACATCTCCTCGTCCCAATGCGTCTTGAACCATGCCCACTCCCCCCTCTGCTCGTCTGAGAGGACGCCTTTTCCGCGAGCCAGGCGATCCAGAGCTGCCATCCTGTTTTTCTTGATCTTGAACTCCTCGGGATTCCACTGCGCTAGGGCGTGTTTGTTAGCCAAAGCCGTTTCCACCGCAACTGCGGCCTCCTTCTTTGCCCTCAAGGCGGCCTCGGCCTCTCGAATCTGCTTCTTGAGATCGTGCAACGCCTTCGTCCTGTCGTTCGCTTCCAGAGCCAGGCGCCGCTTTTTCGCCACCACTGCGGCTTCGTGGTCTCGCTGGGCAGTCAACGCTCGTAGGACCTCGTTGTCCTCCCGCGCCAGCTCTCTCAACCGCTTCTTTTGTTTGTGTCGTTGCTGTCGGCAATCCTGCGCTAGTTTCTCCATGCCCACTTGGCGCAGCATATCTTCCGCCTCGCGGAGCGTTTCTGCCAAGGACGTCGCCACTGCCACCTGCTCGGCCGCCTCTGCGTCGACCACGCAGTCCATGGATACCGAGGATCCTTGAGGCCCAGGTGCCGCAACTGCGGCATCGCACTGTTCCGCAAGAGCCTCGGCCCACGAGGCCTCCTCTTGCTCTTCGTCCTCCTCGTGCTCCTCGTGCACCTCCTCCTCCTCCTCCTCCCCGCCCTCCTCATCGCCCTCCTCGTGGCCTGGCTCCTGGCCTAGCGCTTCGTCGCCGAGCTTCTCCAACACGGAATCTGTGGCGTCGTGTTTCTCGTATTCGTGTATGAGACGCAGCACGTCATTGTAGGACCATTTCAAACGTTTCTGCTCGCATTCTTCCCTCACCTCCGCGACTGCGGTGTCCACTTTTGCTCGCAGCCCCCCTGCTTCCCAGAGTTCCGCCGCCTCTCGGCAAATCTCGAGATCTCCTGACTTGTCGAAGGGCGCTCGAATTCCCACTTTCAGGAAACCTTTCGCGGCGTCCAAGTGCAACTGCACATTCTCCAACACTGACAGCATCAAGTCGGCGCAATCGGAACGCCGCAACTGCGGCACGTGCTTCCCCAACGCCATTTGCTGCACCAGCGCTTTGGTCTCGAGGGCAATGTACCGGCGCTTCACGTGCTGGTTCAAGTCCGTGTCCACGGGCTGCGCAACTGCGGTCGTCCCCCCGCCGTGAATGATCAGCACGTAGCCGCGCTGCCAGGCGAGTCTCCGCACAGCGTCTGCTTTGTGCGGGGAATGGTCGTCGGCCATGAGGATGCGCCACTTTCCCCGCAACTGCGGGTCGTCGGGCCAGGCCCGCAAGTGCCGCTGCAAGAATGATACAACGTCGTCTGCGCGGTAGGACCCCTTCTCGGACGTCGCCGTGCTCACCCAAGACGGATAGCCGCGACTGCGGGCATGTGCGGCCAAGCCCTCAGCGATGACAGATCCCCCCTTGAACATTAGCTCCGCCGGCGGTGGTCCGCAACTGCGGATGTCCTCCGCGTCGCTCGACACCGT